ATATAGATATACAAAATAGAAAAACTTGTGGTAACAAAAATTAAAGCAGTGCGAGTTTATAAGGACAAAATAGCAACAAAAATGTTCAAAACGAGGTAACTATCGAAACAAAAAGGTTCGAAAACGGGTTAACCATAAAAAAAAGGTTCGAAACGGGCTCACCAATTATTGTGGTGGACCTTTTCACTCTGTTAGCTTAGTTACCCAAATTCAAGTAGAAAATAAAATACCAAATGAGTTTAGTTACGGGAAGAATGTATTAAAGTTTGATTACTTGAGTTTACAAAGGTCCACAGTCCACAATAAACGTAATAGACTCCAGGTGCTGCGGAAAGACTGCTCCAGTAGTAATTCTCCAATGTTAACGTTGCCGGAGGTCGACCAAAGTACGTAGGAAGAAACTACGGTGCTCCTGCAAAAATCAGAGATAGAAAGCAGGTGATTAGGATTGATCGACGGCAGTTGAGATGGTGGAGAAGACGGAGAGTCGAAGGCACAACTATATATTTATTCAAAACCCGAGGTAAAGTCAAAGTACAGAGTTTCTGGTTAAAACAAAGTGGTGTACAATATGTTCATTATTTACATAGTAGTAAAATTTGGATAAGTTGATTTTTGAGGACTCCACAAGGGAATACCTTTATGATTTTCCTATCGTTTCAAAGTTTAGGCACTATTCCCCGAAAATATGTTGGCATCACTATGATATATGCTAGCACGTTTTATCAAACCTTCCCTCAAGGATCGGTACTATAGTTTTACATCAAGGGATATATTTAATATTTCCAGTGAATACTTCCTTTGGAAGCTGGGTAATATAACATTTTAATGATAATCCTGCCATTATGGAGTAAATTCGTAGGAAAGCCTGAATATTCACAGGAGAAACTGCCGCAGAATTGTCGGTGACTACCTAAATAGCTGTCAATTTTATCGAATTATGTATGTACAGTTTGTTTGTACTAACGCTAGACTTTGATTTAGCGGTTAACATAAATGAGGTGGAAGTGCGTTATGAGTGACTTTGTGTTCGTTCTTCGGAGGTTGATTTCTATATCGTATTGTATGCGGAAAGGGATTACCGTTTAACAGATGCCTAGGAAAAAAAGTAAAGGGAACAAAGGTATTGTGTATTATTTTCCATTTATCGTTATTTAGTTCAGGCAAACCAGTCTGATTTGCTGGAGTTAGCAAGTGTTATCAGCCTTCAGAGTGATGAGAGTGAGACGCCAACTGCTTCATCTGTCGATGTAAGTTCAGTGTAATGAAATTTTCATTCGGAAGTTTGTGCTGAGCGTTTTTAAGTTGTTGTAAACAGTTAAACATCGAAGTCTATATATAGACTAAATATAAATTTCTTGCCAATATGTGCGCATTTAGTTATTTTTAGGGCACATAAGTTCCATCTGTATCCGCAACTACATCCACTTTCCCTCATTGTGTTGTCTGCATATATTTTGGTCTCCGTGTTACGGAGCGTCTATTGATTCATCTGTAAGCAAAGTTCTGGGTTGACTTATCAGTTATTCAAACATTTTAAAAAGTTCGGATGACTGGTAACGTGTATATTTGAGTACATTTAGTGTGATTTGATTTTTATTCACCAAGGCCGAGCAGAATCAGTAGCTGGGTATGTTGGCTATCTTATCCTGAAAGGTTAAACGTTCCACTAGAGATTCGCTGAGATTACAGACTGCTTGAAGCAGGACTCATTGCTATCAAGGATTTTAGTTGAAGAACAGTACCTCTTGTCTTTGGGAAGCTGAACTGTCACCAATATGACTAATATGTCACCATATGATGAATGGCTAAAGAAATTAGGCCTATTCACACTTAGCTACCGTCGTCTTGAAGGGATTTGATTACTGCCTACAACGTAAATAGCCAGAATCACCCAAACAAAGGTGTTCTGCCGTGGACTATGTATAGGCTTCCTTGTGGAAATCCCAGAAGGATAGCTCACCAGAGGGCAAGGACCCGGGTGCGCTCCCACTTTCTATGCCTGCTGGTTTGCCATCCTTGGAATTCCTTACCGGCAGATATAGCTATGGCACCTTTTAGCGAAGGCTGGAAAACCATGCAGTGACACAGTTCAATTGACCTGTCCCCTTAAAATCGCATACACCATTCAGGGGTAGACAATCAAACTTGCCGTTTTACTTTACATTCTCTCCCGTCTTACTTTCCTGACAACTTTAACTACACCTATTATTACTATTATCATTATTACCGATATATATATATATATATATATATATATATAATTCATATTATTTTCCAAATTTAGTCGGCTGACCTGTTACGTTTCTATATTTCTTCTGACGACGATACCGGAGGACTAACTGGTGGTAGGATCAACTCCATTCACAGTAGTAACTGCCTTAACACACCTCCTACTACAAACCACGTAATTAATCGCAGCACTACTCCTTATGGAGTCAACCAAAGCTACGACAGTCGAGTGGCGGGACAAGCTATTTGTTGAAGTTTACCGAAGATCAGGAACCTATACCTCACGATCAAGAGGCGAGCGCAAGGAAATCAAATTGGTTTATGCTAGCTCGTAAAAACGATATTGGATATTAGATAGTGTATTAGTGTAATTCAGTGACCCGTCTGAAAAATGTCATTAAATTGACTATGCTTCCGCCTTACGTGTATTATACCATTTATTAGTCAGAGGGGATTAACTATTAGTGCCGGTTAGCGTCTGACTGGTTTCTTCAGTTACCATAAGCTCAGATCCTCCACCTGAATCTAAAAGTGGTTGTTTTTAATTGACTCTAGTGGTCCCATTTGTGTGAAAAAGTTTCAAACTTGCACATGTGGGTTTCGTCTATGTAGAAATTCCTACCTAAGGCTAGACAAATGCATGTATTCAGACTTCCAGTCAGATGTCTCTAACTTATTGTGAACATGTGTCCCTGGCTGTTACCACACAGATATTGGGTACAGTGCCTCAGGAACAATTCATTGTGAGTTATATGTATTTGTAAACATTTGTAATAGTCCATCCAAATATAAGACGTATCTCGAGTGTTTAGCCATTGAGTCATTAGAATCTTGGAGTTTAACTTTGCTAGGTGAACAGTCTTTGACTTGAATAAGTATACACTTTTTGGCGCTGGGCAAAAACATAGTTCGTAGCAAAGATGCTGTCGGAGATAATCGTAGTGCCAGTTTCTAGCCATAGTATTAGTAGTGTAGCCTGTTTTATCGATCCTCTTACGTTACCATGGATTCGTTGTTAGTCTTTTCTAAACGAGGCTGAGGCTGCAGTATGCTCTACTCTCAAGGGCTCGATGTGCTAAGTTGCTTCACTCTTAGTGCACGAAGTCATAATGGTGTCGTGGACTCCGATCATCAGTAGGGCAACTGTGTAATCAGCATAAAAATGGTTTAATATTGAGGTCTGAATGACTTGTCTGAAATGTAGCTGAAAAATAAACATTTCAGACTTATCCAACTGGATTTCGGGAGTCTATTACAAGACTTGTATTCATCTCTCATCTGTATCATGCTGGATGTGTTCTTAGGTAGTGGTAATAATTGTGTTGATGGAATTACTTACTTGAATTTTACCGATGAAACCACGTAATATGTCTGGTTTATCTGCTCTCCTTTTCAGGCTGAAGATGAGTTGGCGTTACAGTCAGTTCTCGATAAAGTTTGCTCAGCAATTGATTCAATGGAGGAAAAAAGAACAGAAACTCGAGTTCAAGCTGTGCAATTACTGATTGACTCTTTTCGTTTGCATCATTTATGCTTGGATGGGTCTTGGAACTATACAGAAACTTTGGTCACCAGTATCGAAAACAACTTCAGGAAGGGGAAACCTCTGGATCAGTTATTAGCTGTTGATTTATTGACTATATTTGCACTACAAATTGATCCACAAGAAATTCCTATATGGTTCGAAAGGTTTTACCCTCTCTTAGAGCCTATTGTGCGTGATAATGCAAGGGGGCTAAAACTTAGAGCGTCTTCGTCTGTGTGCCTCTCAGTGCTTCAGTCCTTGTCAGGTTATTGCGATTTCATTTCACCACTGGAAGTCATGAAGATTTTTGAATTTGTCTTCAAAAGTTCAACATCAAAAATAGATACCGTGGACGAATTATCTGATCTTTATGTGGCAGCATTAAGGGCCTGGACTCTAGTGTATACATTTTTGTCAGCATACGATGCAGGGGTGATGGGCAAGGCTGTACTTCCTACTCTGCTGTCTTTGCTTAAATGCTCAAATGTGGATGTTCGGATAATGGCCGGTGAGTCTTCTGCTGTCATATATGAGCGCATTCGCACTGAGGTGGATGATAAATTCAAAGGTCCATATTATAGCGAACTTATTCATTTGCTGGGTGAGCTGGCTACAGATAGTTCGAAAAACCGATCTAAAAGTGATCTCAAGAAACAACGCCATTCCTTTCGAGAACTCATGGAAGCTGTTGTGCACTGTGAGTATCCTGAGAAGTCCATAGATTTCGGCGAAGAAGTTTTAACTTTATCATCTTGTGTTGTTCATTTTCATTATGACTTTTTATGCTCTGTATTAGGAAGTGGGTTAAGATGTCACCTTCGCGAAAATCCACATGTTCGTGACCTGTTTGATCTAGGGCAACCAGTAATGAGTCATCAGAATGCTGCAAACCGTAAGACTTTGAAGGAACAGAAAAAGTTGAACAATATGTTGGCATCAAAAACTCGCACACAAAAAATGAGTGTGTTTAGAGACAAACGACGCGAAATGCTCAATGAAATCGAGTAAAACGTTACGTGCGCCACTTTATCCTGTCTGTTTTCAGATAACACATATATGTCTAAACTATTGTACTTGTATGTCTATTCGTTCATTCGACTAAATGTTTTAGTTTCGTCTTGCTAAAATACTGCACATGTATTTTATTTTTAATATATATATAGCAATTATTTTGCATGAAAGACACTTTTTGCTATTCTTAACATAGTTCAATTAGGATTCATAATAATCAGTGTTATGCACCAGAAAATATGCATTGTTCACCGGTAATCTTTGGGTAATACTTGCTCTTAGCTGTACTTGATTCTCATTTCGAAAGTAATACGATTTCAAAGGTAGTGTATTTAGGTTTATTCTCAGTGCATCGACGTGATTTCTACTGTCAAAATTTTACCACCATATTTCTTCCGTCCATAATAGCAAAGTATGTGTACGAGTTTGGTTACATTCTTGCTCTTACTTTATGGTTTATGCAAAACTTAGTAATTCATCTCTTTCTAAGGTCGGAGGCAAGTCTCAACATGATAATTACGAATAACCGGCTTCACTAATATGGTATCTAGAATTTTAGATCCAAAGTCCTGCGAAGACTATGTGGGATGGGGAATAATTAAGCTTGGGGATCCGACTGACTTAATTACTGGATTAAAAAGGTACATTGTCTGAGGTTTTGTCCTCCTAGGGGTTCCGGAATAGGGCCACATACCAGCATCTGGCACCTGATCTATCTCTTTGTTTGAATACGGCGTTTGACTCTATCGATCAAAACGTGTTATGAACTAATGAACGTTCGTATAAGGTGCCGCTTAATTTCGACCTTGAAAATTGTCTATTCGATTATTAGTTCCCTCAAATTACGTGTAAACATTTCTGCGGGATGATTTTTTTCACAACTGGAAACATTTTTTAGTGCAGTTTCAACAGGTTACACTGTGTGTGGTAGTTCCTACGTAGCTTTATGTGTCTCAAAACCGTGTTGGTTGGTCTGATAAATACACATCATCAGACAGCTGTGTTTTTGATTGCACAACGAATTCGCATACACCACAGCTTACTCAAGTCCATGTATGATAAACAGAGAAAGGGTGTCAGGCGGAATTGCGATACTGTGATGGTAGAAATTATTAGTATCTAGGATTGCTGTAGGAATAAACAAATCTGTGTAAGGATGTGCCTACCAAGTAAGATTCAGTGTCCTAGTCGTGTCCCGCGATTCCGCTTTCCTGCCAGGTTAGCCCTCTTAGTAGATCATGTTTTTCTATGGATAATGGCAAAAGTTCTCAACTCAGTTATGATTAGCCAGCTGTCGCTTTATAGTTATAATTGTCATCTCTTCAACGGTAGAAGCAAAGTTTCGCTAAGCTAATTTTGCTCAGTTGATTAGTGTATTGCAAAACGGGGATTTGCTTGTATGTTTTCTTCAGGTATCGTAACTGTCTTTGCGATGTTTGTCATTTATTGTTTCGTGGATCATCAGTTACAGCAACTGAAACTCACCATATTAGCAGATTGAACATGTCGCTATCAGTTACTTGTTAGCAGGGTTATTTTCGTTAAATAAAATGTGGATATTGTGACCTCCGTATTGTAGGGATGCTTTCACAAACACATCTGCGTCAAGTTAGACTACTACATTAACTAATACAGTTTTGTTCAGTAAGTGTTTTAAGTTCCAATCTAGTGATCCTTATGAAACTTCGAAAAGTTGTTAGTATTCATGGTGTTCTGGGAATACAGACTCATTCATGTTATTAGAAATACAGGATGAAAACACGAGTGGCCTGTTGGATCATATAAAAGGAATGACTGTGAGCAAGAGCTCTGACTGCAAAACAGGAGTTGTACGTCCGTAATGCTAGTTATTCTTCTTGATATTCTTTTAAATTAATAACGCAGAATCACGTGAGTTGTTGGGAGATTATCTCGCTACGTAGCTATCTCTACATCGGAGGGGAAAATCCAGTCAAATTGAATGACTTTGTGGTGACTTCCTTGGCATGCAAAATATGCCTACTGTAAAATCACATTTGTCTACTTCATTCACTCCATAACTATGCTAAATGGAAGTCACTAAGTGTTTGACCCCTAGCGCTGTATGTTGTCGTGCTGTATAATACAGCGAAATGTATCACCACACTAAATCCTGGATATATAGTCGAACTCAATGTTGATATCAAAGCAAAAGTTACCGTGTTACTTCAAGAGAACAGTACATCAAAACAGGTTTAACAGTGGTTAGCCCCTAATGATACCTTAATTTCTGTCTTCATTGATGAACTTGATCAACAGAGCATAAATAGGACTGATATTTAATATATGTGTAAAACTTGGGCACTGTGGTAGTAAGTAATTCCATATTAGTTTGTTTATTAAATGTATCACACAGTGAAACAGTATTGTATACTGGATGACGTTTCGAACACAATTTATTGTTCATAATCATATCAATTTTTGTCACACGACTTCGAGATTTGATTTTTATAGTTATTTCTGTCTTCTATTTGTTGTATAGGCAGTAGAATTTACCATATATCTGGGACAGGTGTTGAATCATTCCTATTACATGTATTTGCAGTTGATTCGATAAACAAAGCTGTTATCAATCTCTCCCTATACCCTGTGACATTTTAAAACTGCCATCCTATCCCATCCTATTGTATGGTTGTGTGTAACTGCAGGATCCTTTAACCGACAAAGCTTGTTTCTATTTGAGTTTGGGTTTGAATGCCAACTACTTTTATTCTTACCTTGTTAAGAATTCTGCGTAAGGCTTCCGAGGTTCCTTCCTTGTATGGAATTACTGTTGATGATTTAGACTCCTTATTGTTGGTGTCGTCATTAATATTATTATTACTATCATTACTTATTTAATTTTTACATTTACTTACATATTTCTTGACTAATTTATCCGGGTAATTATTAAGTTTCAAGTCTTCTTTTATGTGTATCGCTTCCTGTCTTAGATCTTCCTTGGTACTACTTAGTTTTTGTGCTCTGTCATTTAAACATTCCACTAATCCTATTTTTACTGACATAGGATGGGATGATCGGAAATCCAAATATCTGTTTGAATGTGTGGGTTTTCTGTAAACACTAGTGTTTAGTTTCCCATCTTCTTTCCTTTTTACGTTGCAATCTAACATTGGAAGTTCCCCTTCCTGACTCTCCAATTCATAAGTGAATTAAATTGCCTCTACCTTCGAGTTGATGTGCTCGAAAAATCTATCTATATTTTGTGTTCTAAGTACAGTGAATGTGTCATCTACATACCTCCACCATACTTTTGGGGTGGGGGTGAACGTTTCAATAGCTATCTTTTCCCACCTATCCATGAATATATCAACAATAATTCCATACAAAGAAGGAACCTCGGAAGCCTTACGCAGAATTCTTAACAAGGCAGGAATAAAAGTGGCATTCAAACCCACAAACTCAATTAGAAACAAGCTTTTTCGGTTAAAGAATCCTGTAGAGCCATTAAAACAAAACAATTTAGTTTATCTAATACCCTGCTAGAATGATTGTCAGGTCAAATACATAGGTCAAACTAGTAGAACAGGGGCAGTCAGACTAGCCGAACATAAAAGCCTAGCTAAATCTAGATTGGTTGACCCGAATAAGATAAAAAATCTAGAGAGTAGTTCAGCTATAGCACTACATGCAGTTACACACAACCATACAATAGGATGGGATAGGATGGCAGTTTTAAAATGTCACAGGGTATAGGGAGAGATTGATAACAGCTTTGTTTATCGAATCAACTGCAAATACATGTAATAGGAATGATTCAACACCTGTCCCAGATATATGGTAAATTCTACTGCCTATACAACAAATAGAAGACAGAAATAACTATAAAAATCAAATCTCGAAGTCGTGTGACAAAAATTGATATGATTATGAACAATAAATTGTGTTCGAAACGTCATCCAGTATACAATACTGTTTCACTGTGTGATACATTTAATAAACAAACTAATATGGAAGGACTGATATTTGTTAAAGTAACTAGCTTTCACAAAAATTCCTTGGTCTTAGTCCTGCAAATGGACAGGGAGGGCAATCACGGAAAACGAATAACTCATTTATCGAGTAGCCATCTTACTATACCTTTAGGTAATTCGGAGTAAATGAACACCGACTTCAGTGCAGATAATAATAATAATCCACTTCATTCCAAAAAAAACTACTTTTAATACAGAATGGAATTCTCAGCATTTGTCACGATATTGCATCTGATTTACTTAAAATATAAATAAAATTAGAACAAAAGTAACCAGAAGAAGTTTTCCACGTTTACGATATAAAGTTAAGAATATTTGAAGCACGAATTGAGATTATTAAATATGATAATAATAGTAACAATAATAATAATAATGATAACAGTGAGTTTGTTTCAAACGGTATTGTCGATTCAGTTGGGAAATTCTAGCATGTTACTATAGAGTATTGAATCTAATGTTCTGTTGATATATTTAGTGAGGGGAAATACAAAATTAATAAGTTATTAACACAGCTTAATTTATGTTCACACTTATGAAAAAAATAAACAAAAAATTGAGACTATTGTAAATACAAGAAATACAATAACAGTAAAGTTTGGTGATGTAAGGGTGGAGGAAATGGTTTATTTAGTAGTGCAAAGAAAGTTAGTTAGTTCATGCCTAACACTATTTTCATCACATAAAGTACGTGCCAAATATGGTATAGTGGAATTTCATTCTTAGACGTACGTGCATAAAGTCTTCTGAAAAGACTTCTTGTTTTACCTGAGGAGACGCCGGGTTGGAGCTGCGAGTAGAGTAGGTGCCCTGAGTCTGACAAAATCCCTTTAGCAAATTTGTTGCATGACATCAAGTGCCTATCAGTGATATTGTCAACGATATGGCCCAATGGGATACCACTCACCCTACTGACAGTCCTCAGAGTCCTACGAACTGTATGACATAGTCTTTTTTAAGCAATCCAGGAAAGAATAAGGGTGAACAGTAAAGAAGAGTAGGTAAAATACACCAGTTGACAAACTGTAACAGGAGGAGGGGTTGGGTCATACCTGAGTGCCTCAGCTTCTCAATGTAGAAAGTCAGACGAAATATTCTTTTAGAAATCGCCAAGACATGGGATTATGTGACTCATCGGCCTAATTACTCGAATTTTGGCTGGTGGGTCTCGTGTTCGGATCACCCTCTTACTTCGACCTAGCCGATTGTACAAGGTGACTAGCCTCCAAACAATAAGCGTGCTTCATACCCTTGTGGCACACGAGACGTCTGCTCAAGGTCATTAACGAACTTAAAGTGACTGTGCGCAACTATAGGTCAGCGACATGAGAAAAGTAGGAAAATATAACTTCATGCTGTAACGACACCTAACGAGAGAGTGATGGTTTCACCGAGGTAATATTTAACATTATCCCGTGTTCTAGTTGAGATATCTAGAAAATAGTGTGCTACTATAAAACAATGGAATCAATTTAAGTGCTCAGGTGTTAGCAAAAAGTATTACGATAAGGCATCATAAGAGGTTCCGCGTAGTGCATATTTTAGGCACATGATCAGCTAACACAGACTTGCGTTTCTAGTCTATTAAGACCAGGATTTTGATAACTCCTATGGTATAGAAATCAATGATACCTATTTATTACGCTTTCTGTCATATTCATGTGAGGGATGAACGATCAACATAGACTGACCTTCAACCAACAATGCCTTAATCTTATTTCTAGGTTGGCTATACCTTTTAGGTCTTGTACATTTTGTCTTATATTCGAGGAAGATCTTAACCACTCGACGTGGTCACATAAATACCATACTTTTGTGTTCCGACAAATAAATGAGTTTAAGATATAGATGTCATATGAACTAAAAATAAGCACATACAGTTCGGCAAATTCACTCAGCTGTACAATCAGAATAATATATAGTTA